ACAGCAGAATGGAAGAACAACAGCAGAACATCAAGTCAGCAGCACAGCAAGTCAGCAGAACAGCAGTAAGGAGAAGAAGCAGTCAACAGTAGCAGCACCCTATACTTATCATTAGTGTAAGAAATGAAGCTACACTTTTCTCACAAAAAAAAAACAAGAAAGCTTGAATTAAGCAACACAATATAAATTAAGCATCAGTAAAATAGCAACATCCATACCTTTCTAATTAGATGCAAAACTTTCATCTATCACCTCTTTACCAATTTCAAGGACGTCTTCTTCAATATCACAATCATAACCACGTAACCAATTTTGTGTGGTAACCAACGCCTCAACATTCTTAGGCAAAAGTGCACTCCTATACTTGTTTAAAATACGACCACCCATGCTAAAAGAAGACTCAGAGGCTACTGATGTAATAGGAATGGCCAAAACATCCCTAGCCATAATAGCTAATATGGGGTACACATTAATTTGAGATTCCCAATACTTGAGAACATCATAATTCTGCCCTTCAATTGATGGTTGACGAGGAGTATTCAAATAATTATCAATCTCCATCGATGGTCGATTTAGGCTATCATCAACATCAACATCCTAGAAAAGTGCAAAAAATATGCTTTTATTAAATAATAAAAATTAAGACATATAATTATTATTTTAGTAAACCACAATAAACAGAAAATGATTACCTTGAAGATATCATCATCATCCAAGAGACTATTTGATTTATCAACCCCAATAGGGATGGAGGGGGGAACAATTGTACTTGACTTAAAACCGGAACACATAGAAGAATAAAAGTTATACAACTCCAAAAGAGCATCTTTAATCACCTTCGCCTTTTCAGCACATGCCTCCTCAACATAAAGCACTTTCAACATATTCGTCAATCGAAAAAGCTTATAGCAAGGATCAAGAACAATAGCTATTGAAAGGATCAAACTATAGTCATCCCAATAGCCCTCAAACTTTTCAAGCATAACTTTTTCCATGGGTGCAAGTTTAGGGTCTATATGGCCTTTAGTTATTGTGTGCTCAATTTTCAAAACACTAGCAAAATACAAATTTGCGGTAGGATATTCAGAACCAGAAAATAACATAGTGATTTCATAAAATGGCTTTAGGAAATGACATATTTTTGCAAGGGTATCCCATTCATCATCCGAATGTTTGAATTCATAACCCATATACTTATCGATAACCACTTTCAAGGCTTCCTTTGCTTCTAAAGCTTTTCGGAGCATCGTATAGGTGGCATTCCAACGAGTCACAACATCAAGACGTAACTTAGCGTTAAATAGACAGTTAACCTCAGAAAGAGCATGCTCAAATTGAGTAAGTCTAGAGTCCGAAGAATCAATATATTTACAAACCTCACGCAATTTTTGAACACTACTATCAACTTCTTTCAAACCTCTTTGAACAATAATGTTCAAGACATGAGCTGAACATCGAATATGAAAAAATTTACCATTACAAGGAAGAGGAGAAGTCAACATTAAATCTTTCTTCAAAAGTTTAACCATAACATCCATAGATCGAGCATTATCAACAGTAATTGCAAAAGCTTTACCCTGAAGGTTCCACTCCCCAATAAGTTTAAACACAAATTTTTCTATCTCAACACCAGTATGAGGAGGACCACAATATCTAAAATTCAGAATTTTAGACCTTAGACACCAATTTTTATCAACATAATGTGCAGTTAAAGTGAGATAACCTCGATTAGTGCATGCTGTCCACAAGTCACAAGTGAAGCTAACTCTACCTTCAATTCCAGAAAAAGATTGCAACAACAAGGACTTAAACTTATCATGCTCAGCAATACAATATTTCAACATAGTGTTTCTACACACATGCTTCACATTAGGATTCAGATTCGTAAAAACTTCCCTAAGGCCATGATACTCCACAATATTTAAAGGATAGGAATGCAAAATTATAGCTCTAGCAAGAAATTGTAAATGACGAGTTTGATTAAACGTAGGATCAACAACACTTTCAATATTTGCAGGATGATGTATATTTTTACCCATGCATGCCTTAGTATGAGCTTTACAAGTGGAAGTACCAGCCTTACCTGGTGCTTTATATTCATTACCGCAAACATTGCATCGCGCATATCTTATCGGAGCAAGACCAACAATCTTATCAAAAAAGGTGTAATGCCTCCACACATCTGATGTTCGTCCACGCTTACTACCACTATTGGTAGTGACTTGTTGCTGAGAAGAATCTTGATTCTGAATAGTGTTTTGAGAATCTGAAGTTTCTAAATAATCTTGTCTGTCCTCATCATAATTTTCATACCCTTGATCCATTGCTGAAAAAACAGGATCAAAACAACACATTTCAGCCTTATAACAAATAATTGTCCCTATCAATGCTAACACATTTAGGTACTTTTTACACTCTAGTTAAGAGTCAAAAACCCATTACATTGAGATGTACACTTAATAGTGAAACCAACAAATAGAATAGAGAGTGAAAAGTCATTAATCCCATATTATTTTTCTATAAACGCTAATAAACTCATATAATCAAATTTCAGTAACAACCCATTAATTTTTAACTCCTAGAAAATTAAATAAGATGAACCCATATTATATACTATTACCACTAACTTACAATTATACAATTATATACTCATTAAGGGGAATTATAACTATAATAATGCAAAACGTAGTGGACAACTATGTTATATAGTGTGGTAGCTTAGAAAACCTAAATTTTAATGTCAAATTTGATTATTGGTCTTTCACTCTTTCCTGTTCAATTCTTTAATCTTGATTCATTTTGATTGATATGCAAACAATAATGCAAAGCAGTCAAGAAATACAACCGTCAAATACTAACTAACTTAAGATAGACCACTAATCAGAGTTATACAGTAAACCACTAAATTACAATTATGCAATTATATACTCATTAAATCAACTACAACTTTAATTCTTCTACTTCATAAATCAGATTAAATCAGTTGCAAGAAGTACGAGGAAGAGAGATATCATACCTGGACAAAAAAAGAGAGGTTTAGAGCAGCAACAACACTGATAAGCGAGGATTAGAGCATCAACAACACCGATGAGCAGCAACAACGAACGAAAGGCGCCGTGAATGAATTAGGGAGAATTGAAAATGAATGAGAGAGACGACAAACGAAGAGGCGCCGTGAATGAATGAGTGAGATCTGAGAGGAGATGAGAGAGAGAAAGAACTAGGAGGCGTGAAAGTGAAAGTGGAATTAGGGTATCAAAATGGTTGAGATGTAAATCTAACCATTGATTTTTTAATCTATGGTTGAGAATGGTGATCCGTGTGTGTTGTGGGGAAAAAAAGCTAACCGTAGATTGTTTTTAATCTATGGTTGAGAGTGGTGATCCGTGTGTGTTGTGGGAGAAAAAAATTAACCGTAGATTGTTTTTGATCTATGGTTGAGACTGATTAGATGATGTTTTGTGTGTTGTGTATTCATTTGATCGGGATCAGTCTCCAAGACGCGTATTAAAACATCTACGTAGTATATCTTTATTTTCATACAAGTAAAAATTATAAAAACGTTATATTAATAAAATATATAATGATACAAATTTAAAAAGATCACTCATGAAGTCATGAGTCATGACTCATGAGTCTCGTGACAAAATTAAGTTTTATTGTTTTATAGATTAGTGGTAATTTATGGTCAATATTTTCAAAGTTTGACCCCAAAAATGACAAAGGGACAAAATAAAGGGACGGATGGAGTATTAAAATAATAGTTAGAGATGGTGTAGATCATTATACTTAAACTACACGAACAATGATCCTAATTTAATTTAAAACAACAGCTCAAGTTATTGATCCAATCAAAATAATGTTCACTAATTTATAACTTTGTACTAATACATACGAAGTATTTAACTATGAGATGGTTAGATGCTATGCGTTAATGTGTACATACGATCGATTGAACTAATCAATATTACCTTGTTAATAAATCATTAATGTTTTCTTTCATTACACAAATCAAACTACTTTGTAATATCTTCATAATTTCATGAAAATATATAAAGATAAACGAGCCATAATTATCAGTCTTGTTGATTAATCAAGTATCGAATTACCAAATTGCAAATTTCCATTTAATAAGAACTCATCAAATCATGACTATGACACTAGTATTTAAATGATTAAATAAGAAACATATAACAACATAGTTGTAAAACAATAATACATTAATTCACTAACTTTTATAATCTACTTCGTAATACACTAGTAAGATCAATATGACTAAACTTGAAACAGAACATGATATATATTTATAAAATCAATGTGAATTTGTTTATAATATGATGCCTAAATATGAAATGATGAAGTCTTTACTTTATATAAAACTTGTTAACCAGCAAATACTACCAAATTTCAAACCAAAACCATTTAACTGTCCAAATCCAAACGACTCGATAAACAATTGATTTTTTGAAACCGAAAACCGACCCGAATCGTAATTTAGTAAACTCGGAATGGAACCAATCCGAATAATGTTAAACCGCAGAAGAACCGAACTAGTTATAAATTGAACCAAAAAAGAACCGGATCAGTTATAAACTGAACCGAAAAAAACCGAACCAGTTATAAACCGAACCAAAAAAGAACCGAACTGTTTCCAACCCGAAACCGCTTCCAACCCGAAACTGTTTGAACCGGGATAAAAACTGTTTACACCGAACCATTAACAAACCGCAACCCGTTTGCATCGAACCGTTTACTACTCGGACTGTTTACAACCCGAACCGAATTAAAACCGATCAAGATTAAACCGAAACCGAATCGAACCGATAAATATTTAAACCGAAATGAAAACGACCCGCGAGACACTTAAACCGATTTAATACCGACCCGATTTAATACCGAACCGATTTCAAACCGAACCAAACCCAACTGTCAAACCGTTTGACAGTGCTAGTTGTTGGTATAAGAAAATAATGTAACACCTATAATTATCAATTTATCATCAAACCTCCCCCCAATTTATCATCAAACCTCCCCCAACACCATTCCTTTGTCTCCACACCTCTAATATCATAAAAACCACCCTCTCTCTCTTTCTCTCTCTCTCCACCCAAAGTTAACATTTTCTAGAGAGAGAAAATTGTTCTAGAGAGAGAAATAAAACTACCCTCATAAGCTAGTAAGTGCAAGGAAGCCAACTTTGGAAGAGATTCCCTACTTCCATTAATCAATCCATTCTCCCCCACTTTCATACACCATTCTTTTCTTCACTTCTCTCTTTTCTTTTCCCTTTCTCCCTATCGAATCGGAACCTCTCACATAATTCAAAATGACTGATAGAGTCTACCCCGCCGCAAAGCCAAACCCGCCACCCGCGGCAATGAACGGAGGCGGCGGGGGAGTCAACGGGACCGCCGCAAACGGAGTTGGACCGGCTAAAACCGGTCAACTCTACAACCCGAACCGCCCTCGCCCGGTCGGTTACCGCCCACCGCAAAACCGCCGGTCAAGACGGTCATGCTCGTGCCGAAAATGCTGCTGCCTTACATTCATATACACACTCATTGCCATCTTAACACTCTTATTAATAGCGGCAATCGCCGCGTGCATCTTCTACGTGTTGTACCACCCGAAACATCCAACCTTTTCGGTGTCCACAATCCGAATCTCCAAATTCAATCTCAGCTCGGCCGATCCAACCGGATTCTACCACCTCAACTCCCGCCTCGACTTCACCCTCACCGCCAAAAACCCCAACAAGAAGAAGATCACCTTCGTGTACGACCCCATGTCGGTGGAATTCTCCGGCGCCGGCGTCGACGCCGGCAACGCCACTCTCCCGGCGTTCACCCACGTCAACGGAAACACCACCATACTCAAAGCAACCATCTTAAGCGACCCGACCCGAGATCTAGACTCGGATACGGTTAAACCGCTCAAATCCGATCTAACCAAAAAGAGTGGATTTCCAATAACAGCTGAGTTGAATACAATGGTTCAAGTACAAATGGGAAAAATCAAGACTAAGAAGATTGGAATCAGAGTTATTTGTGATGGGATTAAGGGATTTCAACCGAAAAATGCGACGTCGAAAACACCGACACCTGGAACGACGTCGGATGCTAAATGTAAGGTTGATCTTCGAATTAAGATCTGGAAATTTACTTTTTGATTATTTTTTTAATTTTTTTTTTTGGGTTGATGATATGACTTTTGTTGTTTGTTTACAGTACTACTACAATTTTTTTTACATATATTTTAATTTTATTTTTATATAAATGGGGTTTATAAGTTTCGATCTTTATAAATCTGGGCTTGTAAACTTTTTTTTTTTTTTTTTTTTGTTGATTTGATTTTAGTTCATTTGTTTTCTGCCCAAAAATGGGTTGAGCAAATTTGAAAAAAAAAATATGTGAAATGGAGAAAATTTGTGACTAGCAAATTTTTAGAATTATACAGTAATGAAAATTGATTGATAGTATAATAGTACTCCGTAGTATAATTCTTTTTTTATTTTATTTTCCACTTTATTTATGTTGGCGGTGGCAATTTTTTATTTTTATTGTACGACCAGTTGTATACTTGTATTATTTGTTTTTTTAGGAAATTTACGCGGTTTGATGTATTTCTAAAATTAAAAATTCATCAAAAAATAAACATGATATATCGAGAATTAATTTCTATTATACAATCCGGTGTATTTTTAAGGAAATACGTCCTCTTTAATTAATATTGTTTCGAAAATATGAAATGAGCATAAAAATGTGCGCGGTATACCCGAGTGCAGACGTTATATCCAAAGTGTAGACGTGTAGTAGAGTGGACGTATTGATATGTGGTTGATGTCGCTATATGGTCCAACTGTTTGTTGTAATATTATTACAATGTCACGGTCACAGAATTATTTTTGATAAATACAATTTATGTGGATTTTTGTAGAATGAAAATTCCTTGTATTACGATTCAGTTTTCTTATAAATTCGTCAGAGTGAGTTGTTAATTGGTCCAATCGGAAATTAATTAGACTGGTAGTCAACGTTGTTAATTGGCTGATGATGTTCGTGTGAGGATATATTAATTCGTGTAGCAATGATTTTGAACCTCTCTGCTTTGGACTCAGTCACTAGTTTGCAGTAAAGAAAGAAGATGGTTATAGTATAGACCATTACACGAAAAATATCCTCTCTCGATACGCTCTTGCGCTTCGCAGCACTTTTCTCAGTGAATATGGCTACGAAACTATTGTCAGAGAGGTCTATAGGGGCGTTTCCGTTTTGTTGTTGTGCGAGATTCCAGCCAACCGAGCAACGAATACTGGAAAAGTTTGCAGTTTACCGTCCCCATTCGGTCTTACCTGATTGGCAAAGCAGAACAGTGCTTTCGAAAAAGCCTACCGTGGCTGATAGCAAAGTCAAGCGCGATCCGAAGCTAACTGATGGCGCCTGGCAAGAGGGTTTTCACTATCATTTCCGGTTGCCCCCCCTCCAGGGGTCTGGTTGTCATTTGGGGTGCCCTTTTCCTCCATCTGGTAGGGAGAATCTTGCTACTTACTTGCTATATCCCCGCGTCCTTGCACGGCTCGAATTTCTTGTTTTTGAGTCAACATCATTTGATTGCTGGTATAACTACGAGTTCAATTATACACACAATTAATTCATGCTTCTATTCCATTGAAGTATTGCACCCACAAAATAAAAAATAAAGTCAGTTAAGTGGTTAGATAATACGAAGTATGAGAACGGAGTACAAAGTACAGAGTACTCTGTAATTACTTTGTACGAGAAGCATATACATTCAAAATGTACTATATTAATTTACATCAATTGAATTCGCTTAATTTAGATAGTGTTGAAAAAAAATTGCAAGATTTTTAAGCAAAGGCTTTACAACTTGTTAAGTGAAGTGGTATTTTTTTTAATTATATGCTCAATATATTAATTTGGAGTAATTATTTTAGAATAATGAAGTAAATAGTTATGCAAATATATGTGGATAAAAAAAAACAACAATAAAAATAAAACAACAATAACAATAACATAGGATTGACAAGGACTTTATTGGTATAACGTAGTGGAGCATCAATCTTGAAACGTGTCAGAATTATGCGATTAAGGTATGCAAACAAATCAAATTTGTTTGTTCATAATGTAGATGGACAAACATTAATTCAATTTGTAAATTAACCTAACTTGAACATCTTTATATATATGATTAATATGACTCGTATTTGGTCCTGTAAGCTCATCCGTGTGTTCATTTATGTATGACCCGTATGGCTGTATTTGGTCTTATAATAAGCTTCTTTGCATTAATTTATGGTGTTTTATACATTAACCAAGAACGAAGATTTGAAAGCTCCTTTGACTTAAATTGATAATAAGACATGTTATTTATTTACTTTAATAAAATTCGGATGAATTAAGCACACTCTGTGATTCGATTTTACGGAGTACTAAATTCTAATTACAATTTAAATATTAATTTTTAATTTTACAAAATGATCATCAAATGCAAGTACATGACTAACATGAGTAAAAACTTGAAACACAAAAGAAGGGAATCATTTGTGAAAGGATAGTGGAGAATTAATGATGTAAGATGAAGAGTGATTATCTACTCCATTTCACTAACCATGATGATTAAAAGTAGATTAAAGAAATAATAAAAGGCTACTATAAAGTAATAGTAGTAGTTAGCATAGGGTTCTGAAATCAAAGGGAGCATAATGCAAGTTTGTGATGAGAGAAGGACACGATATACGGATGTACTATCAATTTTAGTATAATGTTGAAAATAAAATTAAAATAATGAGGTGAACTATACTGGAAGTTTCTTTTCTTTTATAGTCAGAAAAATGATTATGAAAGTGAAAGACGTTACCTATAATTTCCAATTTTTCTGGTAAGTACAAATATTGAAGGAGTTATTATACTTCCCAACACTTCAAACTCCCAAGTTTGCTCTAAATGTTATATGTCGGCTGGGTTGTTTGTGTTACGTTTTTGTCCGTGCGCCATTTGAGGGTTCAAATATGAACCATTTTGTGTTAGGTTTGGGCTGCCACTTATCTAGTTCGATTCGAGTCATGTGTACGGCTCATTATATTAAGGTAAATGGGTTGAGTATATTCTATTCGTATGATTTGAATCGATCTGACCTATGCTTTGCTCTAATTAATACGAGTATTTTAGAATCTATGAGGCACAATGCCCCAGTTTTTATTTTTATTTTATTTATTATTATTTTTTTATTACATGTAATTTGAAGTGAATTTTACGATAATTTTTTCTTGTTTTTTTTTTTTTGAAAACAATTTTACAATAATTTTGATTATTCTCAAATTGATATAAAATATTTTGCACAAACTTTGAGATAAGGTGGGTGTAAAATAAATTTTCCTAAAATTTTCAAAAATAAAATAAATAAATACTCCTAAAAAAACCACAACTTACCTTTATATATAAAATCTTCGATTTTTTAAATCGCAACATTTGGAATACACTTGTATGATTGTCTTTTGAATATTATACGTTGGAAAAAATATAATACTTTTATAATCAACTTTTAAATCATAAAATGTGAATAGTAAGGGTGAAACCCCTAACATTGCGATTAAAAGAAACCGTAAGAAAGTGGAGTATCTATTAATTTTTACAAATAAAGTTCTTCGTTCTCTTTATAAGGGATGTACCTTGTATAAATCAATGTTATTGCTTGTATAAAAGTAACCATATTACCTTATGTATAAATCGAGCTGCGTAAGAGGCTGGTCGATACAAGAGTCAGTCATGCACGACACAAAAATGACCATGTTTGATACAATAAGATGGGAAGCACGAATAAGATGGTTCCATGCAACAATTAAGTCTCACAGGCCTTATGGGAACTCCATGAAGCACCTCAAAGCCTAATATAACCGGTTATGATACATGAATGAAATCGAACGATTCTACGATATTTCAAGGTTAGGTGTCGAAAACTCAAGTGATAACAGAGGAGGTTTCTTGGGGTCATATAATATATGTCAAATGGAATCACATACGACCACTAGTCGGTCACATAAATGTCAGCTAAACATAATTTGTTCATGGGAAGGCCCTCAACCTATTTCCTATCCTTATCGTGAAATGTCAAAAATTATCACCCATTATTTACAAAATTTTTGTAAGCAATCATAATTTATTGAATATTCCATAGCCACACTATATTTTTCTATACAAAGCAACTGCCCTTGCTAGTACTCCGTATGTATCAGACTATCAGTAGATTGACCTCAAAGAAGCTGTAGTCAAACAATCATTAAGTCAAATTTGACTTTTAAATCCATTTTTTTTTTGACACACTTTTAAATCCAATATTGCACACCATCACATTAACCAATTTTTATGCCTACAGTTGTTATCACAATTTTCAAAATTATCAAACAGAATCAAATTAAATTAACTAAAACTAAAACCAAGAACAATTTTTAAATGGGTTTAAAAGCCAAAGCATGAGATCAAACAATAAAGACAAAATATCTCACCTTTTTCAAAACAATACATATGTCATTTCTTAATAATATTTCCTCTGTCCTAATATACAATACTGTTTGCAAATCATTATATACTCCATATTAAATACTGGACTACTTGTATATATGTATACTTAATATTTCTGAATACTCGTATCATAATATATTAATTGTGTATATTTTGAGACGGAAGGAGTACAAAAACAATAACATGAAAGCGTGAATTTCAATTAAATAGTGTACGACTGGATGAAACAAGAATCTATATCTAGCGTTTAATACCATACCACAAAGAGATATAAATGAGGTATGAACAAATAACATTTTCTAACAAAAAAAATGGTACGGTGGTTTGGGTGAAAGTGTGGAGCAATGAAATTAAATTCAAGTGCACGTGGTTTGGGTGATGTTAATATTTGGTCATATTTTTGTTTTGTAAAGTATGGGCAGTTGGAATTTTGTCAGGCTGTTGATTGCTGAGTCTTGAGGATCGATCTCCTTTACGCCGAAAGATGCTGCAAAAGATTTCATATCATTTGTTTGTATTTAATTTACACCATTTTCTCCCTACTTATTTTTACCACGGGATCTTCTATGCCTTGCCTTCGTGTGTCCGCCATCTCTTATTATATGCCTCTCTTATCCTACACCCCACGCCTTCATTCTTACTCACTCATGTGGTGTGTCTCGATATCCGGCATGTAGTGGTCGCAACTTACATGTGGGTTTCTTGGATACGAAGACCAAATGCTATCAAGGCTTGTTCGGATAAAGATAGCTATTAGCTATGGTAGTAGTGATCAGAGCATTCACCACAATGAGCACAAAAAAAAAAGAAAAAAAAGAGCTACATCAGTGAGCATTTGGAAATTAGCTCATGAGCAAAAAAAAGTATGAATTGTAAACCATAAATGATGTGTTTTAGGTGGGTCAAAAAAGAATGGTGAGGAAATTTCTTTTTTATCATT